CTAGCCTTGAGCTGAAGAGCTGAGGACAGCACCCAGGCCCAGAGTTCAGGCCCCACGACCGGACCCCCCCCCAAAAAAGAATATCGTTTCCCATCCCATCATTCAGAATTGGTGTTTATATTAACCATGAAATGTGTTTCTTGGAGACAACAAATGGTTGGATCTTGTTTTGTGATCTGATCTGCTGTTGCATGTCTCTTGGTTAGGGAATTGAGCCTGTTGGTTTAATGTTACTGTGGAGAAATATGTCATATTTCCTGCTATTTTGTTGTTTTCCTCTACATCTATGTATGTTTACTAGTCTTATTGTGATTTTTATTCAATGCTGTGTTTCCTTGACTTTGATTCTTTTCTTCAGATTGCATGCTTCCCTTTAGTATATCCTGTGTAGTGCTAGTTTAGTGCTCAGGAATTCCTTTATTTTTTCTTCATTGTGAAAGGTTTTAGTTTCTCCATCAATTGTGAATGATAGCTTTGCTTGGTACACTCATTCAGGTTGTCAGTTGTCATCCGAGCTTGAATTATACCACTCCAGTCTCTCCTTGCATTCAGAATTTGTGTGGAGAAATAGGCTGTTATTTGAATCTATTTTCCCATTGTAATACTGTTCCCTCTTTGACTATGCTTCCTTTAAAATTAATTTCTCATTTTTTTAAGACAGAGTTTTCACAAAGAAGGATTTCTAGTTCTACATGCCTCTGTCAGATGGGTGAGATTCTCTTCTTGAGGGTGGGGAAGTTTTCTGTTTTGAGTTCTTCCACCTATCCCAGTTATGGGTAGATCTGTTCTTTTGGCCAAATCTGCCAATTCTTGAATGGCCCTTTGGGATGTTCAGAGTGTTTTTTCCCCACGCCTTTGACTATTTGTTCTAACTTTTCTGCTTTATTGTCAACTCCTGATAACTCTGTTTTTGAGCTCATTTGTTTTATTGCCTGTGCTCTCACCTATACTTTGTAGGAGAGAGATAAAGGCTTTCATACGCTTCATAGCTCTTCATTGATGTCGATTCTCATGTCTTCGTTGAAGTTTTCCTTGTGTCTCTCCTTGTTAATTCATTTCCATTTCCTTCATCAAGCTGTGTAAAGTTTTTGTCTTCCTGTTGGTATTGTCTTAGATGTCCTGCATTTGCTTCATCATTTCTTCTCTGTATTCTTTTAGTTGTTTGTGGACCCGCCCTTTTATTTTGTCAGCCATTTCTCTCACCATTTCTTTAATGATTGTTTTGTTCATCCTTGCTTCTTCATTCTCTTAGTCTTCTCCTGAGGTGTTGTTGGTTTTTGAGAGCAGCACATTGTCTTGATTACTTATGGATTTTGTGATCTTTCACTGTGATGGATGCATGAGGGTTCAGGGTTTGTAGAGGCCTTTAAGATTTGGTATCAGGTCCAGTCGTAACGGGCTGTGGCTTACTGGGTTTCTTGCAAGCGCCATGAAGGAGGTATGGGCAGGCTTTGGGGGCCAGCTGGGCAGTGACTCCCAGGAGGCCGGTGGGTGGAGCAGTACCAGCAGTTTATTGGGGTTCATTCCATTGGGCACCCTTCCTGGCAGTATCGCAGGAGTGGGCAGGGAGGTGCAGGCAAGCTGCTGGGGTTCACTTAAACACTGTCTGGGGCAGCTGCCAGCAGAGAGGAGAGCAGGGGTTCGGGGCCGATGTTGGAAGGCCTGCCTAATCCTGAAGCAACCTTGGAGTGTGGCTTTGTCCCTGGTGTAGCTGTGGTAGTGTATGGAGGTGGGTGGGGGTTGGTCTAGCATTGGAGGGCCCTTTGTCTGCTCCCTGGAGTTTGAAGTCCTGCTGAGTTTTGTAGCAACCTCACGAAGTTGTTTCATCTCTGAAAATGGCATTTCCAGTGTGCACTGCTGTGGCTGAGTTTTCCAATTCCAAGACTCAGCTTCTGGTTCAAAGGTATGTGGTTGACAGTCTGCTGGTGAGGCTGAGTCTCTGGTAGGGAGTGAGGGCAGAAAGGAGAAGGGAAGAAGACAACAAAAAAATTCTCCAATGGGAGTGTTTGGCTGCAGCACAGTTGCGCTGGATGCCTGCTTCAGTTCCTGTGTTTTCTCCTCTCTTGCAGGCCTGGGAGTTAGAATCTTCTGGGTGGGTGCCAAGCTCTGATTGTTTCTAGTTTGTTTGGCATGCTCTCTGGAGGTGGAGTTCTGTGTGAGAGGCCCCATCCCTCTGTTGGATCAGAGGGAGCTCCGGTTAATCCCTGTCACTATTCTTCTATCTTGGTTCCCCTAATTTCTAACCTTTTTTAAAATTTTTTAATTTTTTTGGGTCCGGTCGTGGGCCTGAACTCTGGGCTTGGGCGCTGTCCCTCAGCTCTTCAGCTCAAGGCTAGCGCTCTGCCACTCTACCACTTGAGCCACAGTGCCACTTCTGGCTTTTTTCTTTTTGCTTATATGGTGCTGAGAATCGAACCCAGGGCCTCAGGCTTGCAAGGCAAGCGCTCTACCACGGAGCCACCTTCCCAGCCCCTCTAACCTTTTTTGAAATAATCTTTCTCACTTAGACATATTCAGTGGATTTCACTATCCACCCTGTCCCTTCATATTTAACCTGGAGGCAGGACTGTTATTCTTGAGCTCTGAACTGTTTCCTATGCTGGGTAGTAATTAACTCTCAGCCCCAAGCCAACCACACTATTGTTAAAGTGAGTTTAACTTTTTAAATGTGGTAGGATTTTAGTGAAGTTGTTCAGTAAAAGATGCGAATACCTCTGATGATGCACGGTCCTGCTTCTTACCCGACAAGTGGTGGACAAGTCTTAACTATCATGATTTGTAGAGAGATTAGGACCTGAAGTTGCCCACAGCCCCTAGTTTAGGCCTCCTCTTAAAAGCCAACAACTTCCTGAAAGGTTATTTCTTGGCACACTGTGGGCCCATGGAAGGTTCCTAATTGGATTGGCTGGTATCCATACAGAATCCATTCTGATTGGCTGGTATCCATATAGAACCTATCAGTGCCTATTCAAGTATCTGTTCTGATTGGGTGGTGTTCTTGCCTTTCCCTTTCAGATATTTTGAGCATTTCTTCCTGTACTGTCTCTGGTTAGAGAGAACTGGCTGGCTCTTTTCTTGAAAGTAGAACTAAAATGCAAGATTGCAAAAATTGAGCAGTATTGCTCTGTCACTCTCCTAAGAATCTTTTCTCTGGAAAAATTGCCAATGCAGATGCTTAAAAATGACCCTTTTGTGCACTATGCTAATTTCTTTACTCTCTGCCAGTGTAGTTTTGTCTCCTACCACTGCCCTCCAGTTGGTATAAGGAGAAGAGAAACACAGACAGAAAGGCTCATGAGGGCTTTTCCTCAGTGAGTGAGTGAATTCCTATTCTTTACTGGATAGTTTGCCCTGTCTCTGTGTGTCCTTCCTGCCTTCTGGGACTTCTATAGTGCCTTGTGTACTGTAGGCATTCTGTTGGGAAAGGCAATGTACTGAATATAATGAATATTTGCCACCCAACTGCAGAATTGTCTTAACTGTGGTTACAAGTATTGACTACAATTGAATTTCTTAACTTTTGGACTCAGGAGGACAGGTTCAAAAGAATTTTGCCAGAGTTTATCCAGTTTTTTGTTTTTTATTTTCACTGGTCTGACTGTAGAAGTGTCTCAGTGTCACTGCTATGGCTGGAATGTGGTTCGTCCCCCCGAAATTATGCAGGCATTGAATCCCCAAAGTTATGTGTTAATGATACTAACAGAGTGCAAACCTAGTTCTACGACAGTGCTTAGAGGTAAGGACTTGGATGAGATTAGGTGAGGCCGTTAGCCTGCGTTCACATGGCTGAATCTTGGTAGGGAGAGACACCACATAGTCACAGAAACACGCACATGCCTCCACCGTGATGTAATGTGGCCGGGGAGATCCTTGTAAGCCTTCTCCACAATGGCTGCCCTTCCAACCTTTCCTACGGCGAGCTCACTGTGTGCACGTTTCAAGTGTTCCCAGCCTCACAGGGCCGGTGGCTTCTGTTGTAGACTGTACGGATCATAGGTTTCTATGG